TTTTAATTAATTAATAAATTACAATCTAACTTGACTATGAGTAAAAAAAAAAAAATCAATATTATTTATTAGATTAAATTTATTAATAATTATAAAAAAATTTTTTAATCAATTAAAATTAAACTATTATTTATAAATCAAAGACTATTTAAAAATTTTTTTTATTAAAGATATTAATAAAAAATATTAAATTATAAATAAATTTAAATTTTAAATATTGTAATATTTAGAATAAATTTACTTTCTAATTTATTTTTTATGAAAACTAAACTTCATAAAAAATATTTATTGGTATATTTTGGTTTTAAATACTTAGGATATGATTATAATATTAAAAATTGATTTTAGAAATTTAATTGTATTAAAAATAGAAAAACAATTAGTAAATAAGTACTTAAATTTAATAAAAAAAATTTTTTTTAAATGATGCTAGCTCATTTCTGCACCAACATTAAGATCTTTATTAATTATTAAGATAGATTCTAGGGACAACTGGGATAAGTAATTACCCATACTGTTTAAGGATTTACAGATCAATAAATAGTATAAAGGATATTTATTTATGTTTCACTCAACTAGGATAGGGAAATTATGTGATCGTCTAGTATAGAATTTTTCTTAATACTTAATTAAGTCAAAGGATCTGGAAGTGTTTTGACCTATCAATTTAATGAGGTACTGTCTATGTTTTAAACCTCTTATTATTGAAGCAATATTTTCTAGAACTATGGTTCACTGAATGACTTATTGCTATTCCTGTGTAGGAATGCTAATATGTTAAGAACTTGTCTAAGATAAGATGCCCAGTATCACTGGTGTTTGGGGTCTTTTATACAGAATTTTTATGACTCCTATTAACATATATATTTTTATATGGGGTCTGTCTTGTTTCTGTGATTGTCTGTCCATTTAGCAACTCATCTTGTCTCTTAAGGAACTTGTCTTATGTTTTTCTTTATATGCTGAAATGCTTTACTACTCAACTTTGTCACTTTTGATAGGGAACCAGTCTTGATTGAGGATGTCATACCACCTAGTCTTGTTATATTTGGAACTTGTTTTAATTTTCAGTTTACATATTGAGTTGTTTTTCTGTCTTGTTATGGATATAATAAATGATTAATTTCTTGATATGGCCATACTGGGATACTGGATTATTAGTCATGGGATAGATGAGATCTTTGTGCTACCGATGGTTTATTTTTCACTTGGTCCTTATGTAATATTGAACTCTGGACCTTGTGATTGTGACCTGGAAGCACTACCACTGTATTATAGATCCACAGGTCATGCTTAAGCTTAATAAATTAATTTTTAATTAAATATTAAATAATAATAATAATGTTGATATATTTCTAATTTTTTATTTTAAACTTAGCAAAAGATAATTTTTTAATTAAATTAGTCTTAGAAATGTTTAACAAATATTTAAATTCTATAATTGATAAAAAATTAAAAATTTAAATAATAAATAAATTGTTAAAAATAGTTTACAAAATTTAAAAATAAGATTATAAATAGCAATTACTTTTTTTTGATTTTAATGAATCATTTGTTAGGAAAGGGAAATAGTATTTGAAATTTGATTTAAAGCATTTGGATTTTTTAATTTGAATTAGCTTAGTGAACGCCAATCGCATGAATTTTTAATTAATAATATATAATAACAAGTCAATTATCACATGATAGTTAATGTAAGATTGTAGACGGTTATCTAACATCCAATAAAGACAAGCCATAATGATCGAGAATTAAAAATTAAATTAGAATTTTTAAAAAATTTTGTTATTACTTTTTAAAATGTTGTACGTTATCTATTATTTCAAATAATTTTTAATTAACCAGCTACATTCACACACGATAATAAGTTTTTATTGAAGATAAAAAATACTATTGACCATAAAGAAAAAAAAAATCCAATTATTGATATGAAAAGATTTAAGTATTTGTATGTAAATTTTGTGCGCTTAACTTTTAACCAAGTTGACAAAAAATAGTTTGTTTTTTTTTTAATTATATTTATTAATCAAAACTTGAAAAAAATAAGTTAGAAGAACGATACACGCCCATCACGTGCTTCATTATCAGTCCATATTTACCCGTTATAAATAGAATGAAAACATTTAACTATATGAAAACGGATGATAATTAATTTAACTTTGCTCTTGTAACAAGTTCTATCGTATCGAATCGCAGTGGCTGATTAGAATAGCGCAGCATAAATCGTATAAAGATCAAACGAGATTCAGCAACGGCCCCCGTTTTCCTAGTACGTGGAAGTTTATTATATTCAATGTGTAAAGAATGGGGTTTTTTTTTTGTGTAATAAGTAAATCTATCACCACTTTATTTCACTCCTCTACTACAGTATTAGGTAAACTAAATAATTTCCAATCAAGTCGAGTTATTAATAAAAAGAAATATTCTTTAATCGATGGTTTATATAAATTAATGATATTTGTCAGTATATAAATAAATACCGTTCGTAAGCATGTGCATGTATATTTTATTTGTTATGGCTACAATAATTATTTCTTTATTATCTGGAAAAGAAGCTAATGGTGGTATATCAATTAGTTAAGCAAATATGATTTAATTAAAGATCTCGTGGTGGTTTGTGTAGGTGAACAAACGGTAAAATCAGTGTTAATAAAATGCCTGGAAAGGAAATCCATATGTCGTATGGTTTATTGTAAATTGAATTCCGCAAGGAATGAAATTACTATTTTCTGTTTATTGACATCAATTGGTTTCCAAAAAATTTTTTTTTTTAAAAAAGCTGACTTAAAGCGAGAAGGTACAAAGGAAAAACAAAAAAAAATGACTCCGAAAGAATTGCCAGAATTGTCAATCACCTGATCGCCAGATGAAATACCATGCGGGATACGGTAAAGGATTGATGCATGCATGCAAAAGGGATGGGCCGATGAAAACAAACCACGAAAAAATTTAACTAAACAATAGATTCGATAATCATCCGAGACCTTTTTTTTTTTGCAAACCGATAAGCGCTATCCAAATCGAGTCATCCGCTCATCTTCTTCATCTCAATCTCGCTTGCTTGGCGATACTCACTATCATTGCTAGCGAGATTGTTCAAGAGAGATGTCTGGAAAAAAAAAAACAAACAAAAAACAAAAACAAAAATACAGTAACTAATCAAATCCATTTCTTCAAAAAGAAAAGAAAAAGGACTTTTACAAACGTCAAAATGATAAATTAGGATCTTTACTACCACATAAAAGGAATCTAAAACTGTACTACAAACGTATCATATAAGCATAACTTTTCAACGTGTCACGGAATTATGGCGCGTTTTCCAAAATACCTTATTTATAAATTGTTTGACAAGATAAGAATTTCGTGTTGACACAAGGAAGATAAAGATAAAAGATGATCGTGCGTTATCAGTCTCATTCATACCTTTTTTGATTGTTTTACTGAACTCGAATTAACTTGAATTGAAACACGTACCGTAATTTGTGTATAAAAAGTAACTACGATTATCTGTTTACACAGTTGCATGCGTATACAGGAGTACGCTTGACTTGTGATGACAGCGCGTCTCTCGTGCTTAACTAAAAAAGCTAACAGCGGAAAAAGAAATCTTTTCTGCATTAGTGTGATTGCGTCACTCGCTCTACTTTCTTTTTTTGGACCTGAACGGAATTTTGTGTAATCATTGCGCGCTTTCCATTTAAAAATGCAGATCAAGCTTTTTTTTTTTTTTTTTTTTTTTTTTTATAGATATATCTCGAATCGATATACAATACATCAGGGAGAGATTAATTTCATCACATCATCCAAGCAACAATCTCTCGTCGAGTAACCATAACGAACGGGATTATTCGACATTTCGGCATGTACAAGTGTACTTACATAACAACGCCGCCCGAACTCCATCAATCTTTTATCCAACCAGAGATGATGATGATCATGTATAATATCTGATGTCTGGTACAAATATGGATTAGTATAGATCTAATTAGGCGCATCAAACAAGGAATATTTTAGATGCGTACGTACTGTACATGTGTATGCTTTAAATATCTCATCTCGCAAGCCATACGGGTATACAGGTTACACGGTCATCCGCACACAAGTGATTTAAGTGATTACGCATCATTCAGGATCGCGTGACCGTAAGAATTATTCAAATAAAGTTTCCCTCCCTCCAAAAGAAAGATCATCATGTTACCTTATCCATGTCTAGCAAACAAAAGTTAATTATCGGTTCCCGCGCCTCCCTCTTCCATATTTTCCGTGGTTTGCCGTTGAATGTAACATTGATAAGAGGTTTATTACCATTAAAGGAATCTGATAACTTATCAGCGGAAGTAATGAGGTTGCACCGTTATATGCATGGCATCGACCTGCCTACAGAATCTGGAATTTATCCTTGGAATGTTTAGCATTTTGCGGTGTCACATGTAATACATCATAACCAATATAGTACTAACTTAACGAGATAATAATCTTCAATTTGTTATCTCACGTAGAGTTAGTTCAACATCTGTCGTAACCACAGAAACACAAAAGTTTGTTACAATCAAAAAAAAAATTTTTTTTTTTTTTTTTTTTTCCTCAAACCGGATGCACTTGGAATTGCAGTTTAAAGATTAAGTGCATAATACCTGTTGTCGATTTATCCTTTTCAGGACACCAAATTAAACTTTGTATTAATGTACAAATATCTTCCTTTTTTTATACTTAATTTTACTAATTTATCACTAAATCATCAGCTGATCGCCGGTTTTGTGGTCGAAAATTTTCTAGATAAAAGCCGCCCTCTGAGCATTCGTTTCTCCTCAATACAATTTACAACTGCTTTTTTTCTTTTCAATCAATTTCAATTTCTTACCCAACAACTTTTCCAAATTCAATCACATTTCCCTGTATTATTAGTATCGGGATTATTTGTTTTTGTAACGACCTTTTCTTTTAACGAAACGAGAAACTTTCAAATACTCACTTGTTTTTCTTTTAACGAAAAATAAAAGATGACTACTTCATTCAGGTCAAACACCGCTACCCTCGCCAAGTACCTCAACCTTGATCAAGGTGGAAAAGTTCAAGCCGAATACATTTGGATTGATGGTGACAGCGGTCTTCGTTCCAAGACCACCACCCTCGACTCGAAACCCAATGACATTTCAGAATTGAAGGAATGGAACTTTGACGGTTCCTCCACTAATCAGGCTCCTGGTGAAAACTCGGATATCTATCTTCGTCCAATTGCCACTTTCAGGGATCCCTTCCGTAAGGGCGACAATATCCTCGTTCTTTGTGAAACCTTCAACAGTGACGGAACTCCCAACAGAACCAACTACCGTCATGCTTGCGCCAAGATAATGGAGACCCACGCCGATGAAAAACCTTGGTTCGGTATTGAACAAGAGTATACCCTCTTCGACCAAGATGGTCATGTCCTTGGTTGGCCAAAGGGTGGTTTTCCTGGTCCACAAGGTCCTTACTATTGTTCCGTCGGGGCCAATGTCTCCTTTGGCCGTGATGTTGTTGAAGCCCATTACCGTGCTTGTCTTTATGCCGGCGTCAATATTTCTGGGATTAATGCCGAAGTTATGCCTGGTATCTATCACTTCTCTATCTTGGATTTTGATTGTTATCATTATTTTATTTTATTGCTCACCTTCCTTCCTTTTTTCTTTTCTTTTTTTTTTTTTCAATAAAGGTCAATGGGAATTCCAAGTGGGTCCGTGCGAAGGCATTGACATGGGCGACCATCTTTGGATGGCTAGATTCCTGTTACACCGAGTGGCTGAAGATTTTGGAATTATCGTATCATTCCATCCAAAACCAATTAAGGGTGATTGGAACGGTGCCGGTTGTCACACAAACTATTCGACCCTTGCGATGAGAGAAGATGATGGCATCAAAGCTATCCACGATGCCATCGATAAGCTATCGACACGTCACATGGAGCACATTGCTGTGTACGGTGATGATAACGATCAACGTCTCACCGGTAGACACGAGACCGGACACATTTCACAATTTTCATCCGGTGTGGCTAATCGTGGTGCTTCTATTCGTATTCCACGACATGTGGCCGCGCAAGGGAAAGGCTATCTAGAAGACCGTCGTCCAGCCTCCAACATAGATCCTTATCGTGTCACCCATATCATCGTCGAAACCACACTTTCATAGTCCTCTTCTTCATCCCACCAAAAAAAATTTCCACTGATCAAGGCCACCTATTTCTGACACACATTTTGGATAAATATTCTTTTTGGCGTTCGGTATCATGAGTTTAATCACTTGTTATTATTATTACATTATTATATTATATTTGGAATGGTTGTTTATTTGTAAGGAAAAAAAAATCAAAACAAAAAAAAAAAAAAAAAAAAGGAAGCATTCTTTTTTTCTTTGTATTATAGATATTTCTTTTTATTATGAACATGCAGTTTGCGCTTTTTTCTGTGCCACAAATAAATTCATCATCATTCATCAATTTTCATTGTTCAAAAAACTCTGCTTTCTGATGATTTATTTTTATTGGTGTTTCACCATTCTGTTATCTAATTTTTATTTTTATTTTTTTTATTTTTATTTTTTGCTGGTCAGTGTTTCACACTCAATGGCTCCCCTACTTACCCCCATCTTTGCCTTCAGCTATTAGTTTGAGAAGCTTAGTTTCTCGTAAACTATTTGGAGGAGCGCGAAAGGAGGAAGGATTTTGAGGAGTTTTTTTTTTTTTTTTTTGCGGTGTGGTGGTTTGGATATTGAGTCGATTTTTGGGGGTATATACAAATATTCTATTTCTCCTAAATTATCCACCTACGTTGACACGATCGGCGATGAAACGAAGTATCTCGTTTCTTTATGAACAAGAAATCGTTCATCCATTGATCTCTTTGGAGGTTCGATCTTACCAGCATGGAAGAAAGCGCAAATAGTTAACCACCAAATTATACTCGAGGAAGAATCGAATTTACACAACGAAGGAAAAAAAGAAATCATCACCATCTATTCCTTATTTCTTTTGAATGGTGGAACCTTTGGAAGGAAGTCCCCTTCCCCTTCTTATTATATATATGTATCTAATTTTTCCTTTTGTGAATTCTTTTCTTTTTTCATTCTCCCCTTTTAAGAAAAAAGGCGATTGTAAATTTGTACTCACCCTATTGTAAATTTTTTTTTATTTTTATTCTTTTTTTTTCCTTAAGCTAAATTACGATTACGTGTTTCATTACACGCAAGTTTCTACTCTTATTTTATGCAAAATAAGCCTTTTTCAAAAAAAAAAAGACGACAATGCATATATGTAATTAGTTAACCAAGATTTTTTTTTTTTTTTCTTTCTAATTTCACAATAAAAATGTAATAACAATAAAAAAAAAAAAAAAAAAACCGAGAAAATTTATTGAAAAGAAACTTTCTTTGAATGCTTGTGTGAATGTGAATTTTCGCGAGATTAATTCTGTTAACCTCGATCGTGCAGTTGGCGACAGCTGCATTTTTGTTAAATGCGATGCTAGAAATAATGTTTGGAATTTAATAGATAACCAAAAATATTGTTTTTTTATTTCCGATAAATTCAAGTTATTACTTAATGTACAGTATATAAATAAATTCGAAAAAAATCCAACGTTTGATCATAGCTTAATTGCTAACTTAATCAAAAAATCTCGTCTCACCTTTCTCTTGACAACAAATAAATCTATCTATAATGAAGAAACATCATTTTCTTAAAATCGAATTTATAAAATTGTACCGAAACCAAATTAGTTCAATAAATGTCTCGCATTTGCACGCAGCAATGAGAATAACAAACTTTAGTATTAACTTATATTTTCAAAAATTTATTTGACCTCCTGATCAATGCAGGCTAATTAAAAAATCGATGGTTTTTAAAACCATTGATAAAAAAAAAATTTTTTTTTATAATATAAATAATAGTTACTATTATGCAGAAAATGAAATTTTGGTAATTGTTACTTTAAACAAATTGATCGAAGCATGGAAATTTTCTGAAATCAAGTTTAATGAATTTCACAAATAAATTTTCATTTCGCAAAAATTAGTTATAAAAAATATTGGAAATCCAATTACAAGTCTTGCTCAACATTGAATTGAATTTACAATTCTTCTATTAAAGCTAATGACAAATGCAATATCACTATATATACTGTATTTTAGTTAAAGTAACCAATTTTTAGTTCTTGCCAATAAATAATGGGGCTCTTAAAATTATTATAATTAATTTAAAATGGTTTCTACATATAAAACCTTTTATTTCATTAATTAAATTAGATTCTAAAATTTTGATATAACCTCGATTTTTATAATTTCTATTGTAACAAGCAATTTGCATTAATAAATTGCATTCAGCATATATTAAAATGCTTAAGTTTAAAATTTTATTTAATAAAATATCTAGTTTTTTTCAATATTATTATTATCAATTAGAAATGGCTATTATATGTCAAACTTTTTATTTTATTAATTAAACTAATTTTTATGTATTATATAATTTGTGTATTCTAATAAATTCTATTTACAATGAAATTTTTATTGAATTTGAATAAATTTTATTAATATATTGAATAATTTCTTTTAAGAAATTTCTATTTTATTTTCTTTTTCACTTTATTTTTATAATTGTTATTTTAATAAATAATTTGTGAGGGTCCTGTATAAAACTCTCAATTGTGCCAGTCATTTGATTTGTAAAAGTTTTTGACATATTGTCTTAGTTGGAATATTTATTATATTATTGTTCTATATTGAATTATGCTAATTATTAAAATATTAAATATTGATAGTTCGATTTGTAGAATTCTATGAGATATGCCATTGTTGAAAGGATTGATTTTGTCCAATTAATTTGCATTTAATTATATTTTATTTCTATACATGCTAGGACTTTGTGCAAACAAATATTAATATTATTAATTTTATATATGTCTTGTATGCCTAAAAGAAGTTTATAATTATTTTGTTGCAGATTACTTGATTAGGTTTTATTGAAGAGATCAATTAATATATAATATTACCACTTGACTGTTTTTATAAAGATTAACTATTAATTGAATAGATAATATTGATATTGTTGAATAGATTGCCATGATCTCTGCTTTTATTAATAAAGTATATTTATCTACTTAAGTTATAAATTGAATCACCTATTATATTAATGTAATAATAATCTATATTATATACATATATGGTATATTATATCAATCTAATTTGAATCTATTTATATAAATCTGAAAAGGTTGCAAGTTATAGAGGTGACAATATATTTCAGCTTGTTTATTGTACTAGATTTATCTTTAAAGTGTTGATAAATTCAATTTCAAATAATATTATTATCTGATAAAAATTGAGTACAGGTTTTATAGAAGGTGTGGCTCTTAAAAAGGCAAATACAACTTGTATTGAATCAGAAGACATTTATATTTTTCTAATAGGTATTTGTGAAGAATTTTTAGAATGTGAAACAAATAAGTACTGAAGTTAATTGGAATTAAAATTATGTTTTGTGGTTTAATAAAAAGAAACATGTGTTTGAATGTATTATTTTTTTATCTATATTACATCTTGAGTAATTGTATAAAGAAGATTTATTGTTTTATAAAGTATAATATTGATATAATATGAAAACTTCTTTCTACTGTATTCAAATTTTTTAAAATTTTTCTTTTATAATAACAATTCAAAGTTCACAAGAAAAAAATACATGCTCACAAAGAGCTATAACAATGAATATGGCATCAAGGCTGAGAAAGAAGGATAGTACAATTAACTATACTGGAAAAAGAATTATTACAGATAGTGACAAGATCTCAAAACTGCTCCTAAAAACAAAACTCACAAACAAGTTCAATCCTATATCACCTGTCAAGAAATCAAGAACCTGCCCAAAACAACCTAAAGACTCTAATTAATCAGAAAAAAGTCAAGATTACCCAGAACAACAAGAACCAATAGAACTTGAAGACACAATAGCAAGCAAGCCAGTGAAACAAAAGCTGAATATCACAAAGAAATCCTTGAAAAGAAAAAAGCAATAGAAATTTCCAAACCATCTCTCCAATCATGATTTTTTCTACAATATCTAAACATAAAAGTGGAAAAGATCTTAACAACAATGGTCTAAATACCATTACCATGAATAACTATATTTATGATAAGAGGAGCGAATAATCATGCATTAACCAAAAAGAAAGTACAAACAATACAAGACATGACACAATCCAACCAGGCAAGATACTATTTAGTCCAAAAAAAATATCCAGAAACTTATTTCAAGAAAAACTTTAATATGTTAGAAATGTTTGAAAACACTTGAAATCCCTGAAATACATACATATAGAGGAGCCCACAAGAGCCCTGAAAATTGCAGTTATCTTTAATAACTATTATAAGACTTTAGCTATATGTGAGATCAGGATTATCAATAAAGAAACAGTCAAACAAGATTAGCTTCTCTGATTGGTACCATAGAAGAAAAGATCCATTTCATCAAAATCTGGGACATTTCTAACAGCTATACAAAAAAAGACATTATTAGTTTATTCAATAATAAATCAACAATTAAACATATTGCACTATAACTAGTAGAAGCCATCCAACCTGGACCATACAATTCAACTCAACAGAAGCATTTAAAGAACAAGTCTTAAAGTGGGCCCTATACAAGAATAACTATTGTATGCATATACTGTATTTTCAATAGTTAAAACCTGTATCACAAAAGAAAAAAGGAATAAGTACAGTGCCACATTAATCAATCTTCTATAAGGAACCTTCATCAAAGAAATTCAAGAAGTAATAGACTAAACAAATACTTAGACATGTTACTTCCTCTTGAATTACCTTAATCAGAATAAATGGTTTGTGATTCTATACTTTAAGGATATACAAGACCTGAACAAAGCAAGAAGCATTATCTTTCAAATTGAAAATATGAAACTAGTCTAGATATTAAGATTAACAAGGCACTATATCAACTGTGGAACATATGAACATAATACCAACTTATGTATTACAATCAAAAAAATCTCAATACAAAAGAACAAAATAAACAAACTTGGACAACCCAGATTAGTGACATGTCAACAACAAGGACCCCCTCCAAAACAGGACCAGTGGTCTACTATCACAAGTATAAATAGCTTAGGATACACATATGCCAATATTACCAAAGGACTCTTCCATGTATTAGTGCAAATAAAGAAAGTATTGAAAGTTCTTAAACAACTACAAGCAGATATTAATACCATCAAACATCAGGTTTACATACTCTATAAAAGAATAATAGCAATTGAGACAGGTTCCAACATCAAAGCAAAAGGGCCAACTATTATAGACACTTCCATAGAAATTGGATCACCATCCAAAAATGCAGACTTTAGGACTCCATCACTAAAGAGAATAGATATCAGATAACAACAAGAAGCAATAAACAAGAGAATCAATCAGATGGAATCCATGATCGAGTTCACTATAAAAGAGATGATGGAATATTTTGACTTATCAATCAATACATTAGAAGTATTAGAACCATTTCTTCAGAATCTTCAAAACAACTATGATTAGAGAATATGAAGAAGAAAATACTGCAATGAGACAAGAGTACAAAGAAGTAGAAACAAATACAAAACAGGAAATATGTAAAATAGTGATATTTAACATCAGAGGAATTAACATAGAAGGCAATAAACTAATACTATTA